CATAAAAAAGTTTGCATCACAGTGGGTGGGGTTATCTTCTGAAGTCTGCAAATCCGATATGGGATCAGTTTCATTCACACCGTAATCAGTTTGCTGGATTGTCATTAACGTAGGTAGATGCACGCCCCTTTCTTGTTAATGTGCGTAATTTTATCAGACATGGTACTGGAGCTCTTTGTACCAGTAATTACGTAGACGTATAGATAGTCAGAGACAAGCTTTGCCTCTGACAACGCATTAATTACCAGTACAGAGAGAATTAAATCTATTTATTATATCAAAACACACGAGTTGTCACATATGTATGGACGGATCTAAAATTAATGTGGCATAACATGTCACTAAACTATATCCATGATATTAACACACTTATTTGTTAGGTATCATTTAATATATTTGTACAGCTGTTGTTTTACACGGAAATGTTTACTGTGAATATAAACCCGATGTATAATGGGTGAGACTAGATCTAAGTAATTTTATCACACAGAAAACCACAAATTTGCATTTACGATGTTCACAGGCAGATTTCCATAACATCTGTTTAAGTCAACAAAATTACTTAACTTTGAACTTATAAAGTTACATATGGCACTAAATGGAAGCGCTCACTATATAGCTTGTAACACATCACCTCGTTGAATAGATGTGTCTAACGAATGTGTAAATTACATCATTGATACGTATTTAATATAAACGTTATCATACATCCAAACAAAAAAAAGATGATGATTACATTTATGTTTGTGTGTGTACAAAGTAATTCATACACCTCTATATGATGACATCAGTTTAAGTATCTTACATTTTGTCTCACATATACTGGAGTGTGTGTATTTAATGAATGTCATGTCACTTAATAAAGCTAAAACTGTTTAACTATCACACAGTCTGTTCTAAGAGACATAGCTCAAAGTGTATAGTTAAACTTTTGTTCCATGTCCTGTGGTGATGCTGGCTACAAGTGATGTTCTTCTGGGGAAGAACATGTTCGAAGCTATCATACAGTTTAGTATCCAATAGTGGTTTGTAAATACGTAGTTCACGTGTATTCATACTCCATTAAAGAATCCCCAGTAAATCATATAATAGTAAGTTTATTAGGCCAAAGATTCACCACTAACTTTGATAATGTCAGTTTGTTTTGTAGATCGAACATAACAATGTTTCTAAATATAAAATGAATTAATTAGTGAAAAGCTTCTATGTGTATATAATTCCAAGATAACATTTATATCTGCAACGTTGATAATGAGCAATAGGTACCAGAATTATGTACAGCATATATTATGCCATCTATGTAGAAAGGCTAGTGATACTGTACAAAACTGTAATCCTCAGCTGATCGGGCTAAATATATGCATGAATAAATGTATAAAGTTATTTAGCTTTACAGCCTTAAGTTTTTCAAAACGAACTTTTATTGTGTTGCAATAGATTTCAAATGAAAACTGAAACATTACTCAATAAGCATAAATGTTATTTCTGTTCACACAAATATTTCGATACATTAATCAATAAAATATGATTTCATTTTGTTACTTAACATTAAAGTAATGGAGTTTCTGTTTACTTTCACTCATTATGATTGTAGAGTAATTATCATAAAGTATATTATTTCCTCTAATCATGAAGAATGATCAAAATTAAACCCTGACATTTCTCCGATTCAACTCCCTTATACAGCATATCGCGCATTTCCGAAACATGCTATAACGTTTCCGCATGATCATAAAATGTTCATAGAACAATATCAGAGTTTCTTCTCTAATTCGTCTTAATTATAAAGCAATTAATATCACGCAGCTTACTTCCGACGCTAGGGAACATGGTTCTGTAAATCTTTTCTTGCTTTTAGTAAATACTCGTTTATGATCACTAGATTTTAATCTCGGCGACAACCATATATTTGTCGAAGATTCTATTTATATTCATTACGGTTTATGATCTAAACATCTTTGTAAGTCTAGTGGAAAGAGAGCACAAAGAGATTAATTCTCACCATAAAATAAGTTAATAATAACTCTCAAATTACAATGAGAAATTTATAGGGCTCATCAAAATAATAAAAGAAACATTGGTTAGAACACTTCCACTGTAAATATTCTAGGCAGTGTTTCAGTTTGTTTCTACATGTTCTTACTTACCCATACCAAAGATGTACCTACACTTATCAATACGCTTGTTTTATAATAATCCAGCTTACGCTCTTACTGTTATTTAATATACTTTTGAACATAAAAAAGAGATAAATTTTGAGATTCGTTACATGAACACCATTTAAACTGATCGCGTTATGAAGGACTTAATTAATTAACACGGAAATACCGATACTCCTAAATTTACCAATTTAAACTTGCTATATTTGAACACCAGCTAAACTATCTATCCAATATACTACAACACACAAATAAAAATATTACAGTCCTTTTAAGATACATTTTGGCAAAGTATGTTTTACTCCAATCTCTTAACGACTGCAGCTACATGAAATTAGTCTTGTTGTGCTGACAAAGGATCTGGCAAAGGCTCAGTTTACAGACCAAATGTCGTTCAACCCACAACTCCAGGTTGATGAAGTTCACAGAACGTTTAAAGCGTTTTTAAACGAGAATGGAAAAATAGAACTTTAGTGGCTGTGATTAAAGCCAATAAAAATAATGAATAACTCGCAGCTTAAACAGAAGCTTCACAAAATCATATAAGATTCGACAGGTTGTCAAAGTTTCAGACATTAGTAAGATTGTTAAATATATTTATTTGTCTTAACGCAAAGCCACACATTGGGCTATTTGCTCTCCGTCAACCGTGGGGAATCGAGCCCCACATATTAGCGTTATAAGCCCGTAAACTTACGGCTGACCTGCTAGGAGACGTCTTAGGTAGATAGAAGATATGGCATCACCATTGGATTTGTTAAAAAGAATAATAAAAACTGTAAATAATATTAAAATATAATGTTTCTTATGTATTAGGAAACCGTTTTATCGTACAGCATAAGATCCAATCAAAGTTTCCAAAGATGCAGGGTTGAGGTTCGTGAATATAATAAGGCTTGGATTAATAAGTTTATCAGCAAAATACATACTTTCTAAGTCTCCAGTAAAACAGAATATTACTTCAAGAAATATTAATGAACGAATGCAGCACTGACCTTGATGCTGGTGTGTTAGAATATAACTCTGAGATAAGGATCCTTCAAATATGTTGCACCTTTACTTTACTAGACATTAAATAAATTAGATCACCATATAACTACAATAACTTAAATTGTCCTTAATGGGTAACAAACTACTTGCTTTTGGTCTGAGTGTGATAAGCGTTCTGCAACCAAAGCTAAGGTTTAAGTTATTAAAAGATAAAATTATTTGGACATAGTTTTATTTTTCAAATAAAAGTGTAAATGTAATCTCCCCTTTTTAAACAGTGTATTTGATCTCTTACATGTTACGAGTTTTTATTAAGTGATCGGGAAACATATACTGTTTCTATTTCGCCAACAACACTTGCTGTATTGTTCGACAATGAAATATACGTTATGTCAATTCCACAGTGATACTTTCTATTAAACTATCAGCACGCTTATTAGGCTTAGTGCGAGATGTAATAAAATATATTACTTATATCATCCATTAACTATCACATATTTACTCGTACGCAAATCCAAATTTCCAAGATACATGATTGATAAAAGAAAGTGTAAGAAAATTAAAAATACGAAATAAAATAGTTACTTATTTACTTACGTGTAAACATTATTTTTAACATTTATGATTTTTTAACATATTCCACCCAATCAAATGATTATATATTCATATTTATAGCACGTGATATGGTTGGATATATACATATATATACTACTCTACATTTAGAATATGAAAGTTGCAGACATTTACACATCTGGCATATGCTTATATCATACATTATACCTTTCTCTACTGTTGAATTAGTTGTATCGCGAAAAAAAGCGTATATTTCTCTAATTTGAGTATTGAAACCGAAAGGCCAGTAGTGACAATGCTTACATTAGCCTGAGTTTTTTGCATCTCGGGTGCTGTAAGACTAGACTGTCTTCGTTTTATAAACTCTCTGTTTGACCTTGCTCATTACCATTTGATTTTATGTGGATGTCATGTGGAACGGAGATACCTCATTGTAATTGGCTTAACTGGCAAACACTTCGCAGTGGCACAGCGGTATGTCTGCGGACTTGCAACGCCAGAATCCGGGTTTCGATACCCGTGGTGGCCAGAGCACAGATAGCCATTGTGTAGCTTTGTGCTTAATTACAAACAAACTTCGCAAGTCTGTGGCGGGTAGAATTAGCATGGTCAGAAAGCAACTCCTGTTCTTGTATTTGTATCTCTTCCTTTGTTCTTGTGATAAAAAGTATATTTCTATTTTAAGTTCAACCGTGCTTTATTAGTATGTTATAATAATAATACTAGTTAATAGTGATTTAATGCATGTTTTGACTTTAATAATCATTATGCTTATGTTTTCCGAGCACGTTTCTTTGGTTATAGAGGAAATCCTATTTTTGTAGCTGGACATTAAGGTCGAATGGCCAAAATCGAATCCCTTGAGATTTTTCTCGTGGTAAACAATCTCTTTCTCCCTCATCACCTTCTCACACCCATAAATCTCCTTTATAACCCCAACCCCCCTCTTCCTTAAAGCTTACAATATTCCTCTTTCCTTTTCACTCTTCTTATAATTGGTTATTCCAGTAACTATGGCAACGGCTCCCCGAAGATTGCGGTCCGGTCATAGGTAAATGTGTTTTGCCTTGTTCATTTCTAGGCGGACTTTGCCGGCGAAGGTAATACCGTAAAGGCAAGGAAACCAAGCCGATTGGAGTTGACTGTTGGTGGCTGAGAAGGGATATTAAGAGTCGTATCCAATGTCTCTCGTACATAACAAACCGCAATTCTTGAATAGAAGATACGAGTGAACAGAGGATTTGTCACGAAAGATGTAGCGTAATGCCTTACACTCAACATTGATTACTGTGAAAGCATCATGAATTACTGAATTGGAAACTTATATTATCACGTGACACCGAAACTGCTAAGGGGTGACGAAGATGATCAGATGATCACGAGGGAAAAGCTAAAGTATCTATAACACACCATGTCCGTGAAGAAATTCCTGGTGGTGTACGTGGGTCTCTTCAGCTGTGTGGGAGTGAGCGGTAAGTGATAAATAAATAAAACCAGCCTTTCAGTGACCTGAATTACGTAGGTAGGTAATCCTAATGCAAAACATTTTCCCCAAAATATATATTTTATTAAAAAGGATGACCAACTCTACTTAAACATTGCTCTATAATGAATGTCAGCTACAAAGAACGTACATAGAACTGATGAGGTTCGAAGCTTGGTACAAGAAAAATAAGTGTAAAATGCTTTAATATATTTTTTAAGTGAATATTTCGACTTATTCGTAGTTATTCGACGTTGAAAGTAGTCAGTGAAAACCTGTACAAGATTCTCTTACCGGAGATTCGGACCCGTTCAGCTTTGATAATATCATTTTCCCTTTAGACACACACACACACAACCTCTTCCTTCTAATTTCTGAGTAACAAAGGGCTTGCTTTGTTTTCACTCCTAGGAAAAAAAACTTGAAAAAATACATTTGTTCAAACATAGAATTACGGAACATGGCAGAAGAAAGAGAGTGCTATTTCAATCGTCTCTATAAAAACTGTGCTTGGTTGTTTGTGTTATGAAAAGATAGTTAAAGCATCTAATTATGGAGTTGGAGATCAAAGGCAACGTACATTTTTGTACAATCGTATTTATTTTTAGATGTCATGCGGTTAGTAGTGGCGTCTGTATTACAAATATCAAAACTAGATGTAACGGCATAGAAGATAGCTTCTATAAAGCTTAAATATATTAGAAACAGAATAAAATAATGGTAGTTTGGCCTTCAGGTTTAGTCGCGAAGGGCCTATATATCAAGCTACCTAAAAAATAATAGTTATGGGACAAGCGCACTACAGTAAGCAACGAATACATTTGTACATTGAAATTTTATAATGCATAATTCCTAAATACATTTAGAACACACTTTGTAACGTATAATTCCTAAATACAAGTATAATACACTTTGTAACGTATAATACCTAAACACATTTAGAACACACTTTATAACGTATAATTCCTAAATACATGTATAACACACTTTGTAACGTATAATACCAAAAGACATTTAGGACACAGTTTATAACGTATAATACCTAAATACATTTAGAACATACTGTATAACGTATAATTCCTAAATACATTTAGAACACACTTTGTAACGTATAATTCCTAAATACATGTATAATACACTTTGTAACGTATAATTCCTAAATACATGTATAATACACTTTGTAACGTATAATACCTAAATACATTTAGAACATACTGTATAACGTATAATTCCTAACTACATTTAGAACACACTTTGTAAAGTATAATTCCTAAATACATGTATAATACACTTTGTAACGTATAATACCTAAATACATTTAGAACATACTGTATAACGTATAATTCCTAACTACATTTAGAACACACTTTGTAAAGTATAATTCCTAAATACATGTATAATACACTTTGTAACGTATAATACCTAAACACATTTAGAACTATCTGAAAATGTTCACTATTAGTAGCATTTCCAGAAGAGGTTAATATTTTGAAAAAAAGCATATATTTTATTATTATTTCAATAAACTTCTACTTATGTACAAAAAATTCGAAAACAAACCCCGCTATGACCCTTTTAAACGATAAAGCAAAGAACTATATAAAATGTCAGTGAACAGAAAACTTTTGGCTTACTTCTATATATTCAAACTTGAAACTTATGCTCTGCTTCTGTTTGATGCGTTCAGATCGTTTTGTTTGTTTTTTACATGCATCTCAGTTCTTATACAACCTTCAGCTGCATAACGTGATCAATCATCCACATAAGAGAGACAGTCAGTGTGCAAAAAATTATCTAGTAAAACATCAAGTAAACGTTAGAAAGACAAAGATGAATAGTTAGAAGTAGCATAAAAACGGAGATACCTGGTTAAAAAAGAATAAAAACCATGTTTCAGCTGTGAAAAAATTTTGTTTATTGTGAAAAATCTTAGCGTTAGAGTAACTATAAGGCATGAAAAATCTTTGGGCGACGACCGACCATGACAAACGGCATTATACACGTATTTATACTGTTTATTGTTGGAAATGATGCGCTTTGAATAAGAATGCGCAAAGCGCGATTAAATGTGCGTCCACGATTTCTTTCAGAGAAACCCAGTAGATAAAGCTCAGCTCATCCTTTCAACAACCACAAGTCATGAAGGAATTTACATGTGATAGATGGAACGTCAATGTTCTCAGAGAGACTAACATCTACGAAGCCTCGTGAGCAATTCAGTAGACAAGTAAAGGACTTTACTCAAAATAAACTATAAACCAAAGAACTTCCGGAAAGAACTTGAACTCAGTTACTTTTTATTTTATGATTATCATATAAAATGCTTGTTTGAAAAAATGTGACTTGTATTACTATACTATTTTCGTTGAATATTTTTCGAAAACTTTCGACGTGTAGGCAAAGATTACCGTTATTTCAAGTCTGAAGTTTAGAACACAGCAAAGTTGTATGTGTGTAACCTTATTAAAGAAAAATGTTCCTCTTTTAAATTTCCTTTCAAACTAATAGAAGTTGTTTTAATAAAGGACATACATAGCTAGTAACTTGTAGATACGGATTTATATCAAAAAACAGTTAAAAACGAAACGTTAGGTGAATTTCCTGTTACAATAGCACTTCGTAGAAACTCAAAGAATTGACAAATTAAAACAAGTTTAGGTTTTTATCATATTATACAAGCGTGTTTTCATTTCTTCTGTCGTTCCGGTTATCATATTATAGAAGCATGTCCTAATGTATTCATTTCTTCTGTCGTTTCGGTTATCATATTATACAAGCGTGTTTTCATTTCTTCTGTCGTTCCGGTTATCATATTATACAAGCATGTTTTCATTTCTCCTGTCGTTTCGGTTATCATATTATACAAACATGTTTTCATTTCTTCTGTCGTTCCGGTTATCATATTATACAAGCATCTTTCCATTTCTTCTCTCGTTCCGGTTATCATATTATACAAGCATGTTTTCATTTCTTCTGTCGTTCCGGTTATCATATTATACAAGCATCTTTTCATTTCTTCTATCATTCCGGTTAACATATTATACATACATGTTTTAATTTCTTCTGTCGTTCTGGTTATCATATTATACAAGCATGTTTTCATTTCTTCTGTCGTTCCGGTTATCATATTATACAAGCATCTTTTCATTTCTTCTATCATTCCGGTTAACATATTATACATACATGTTTTAATTTCTTCTGTCGTTCCGGACAAAGACTGCGTATTTTTTTACACCAGCATTACAAGATGAAAATAAGATTCAACAGTCTTCTTGTAAAACTTACTTCGAGCATAATTAATAGAAATGTCCTCACCATTATTCAATAGATTTCGTTCCTCCTTCCTACGAACCTGTTTTTATTCCATTCTAGTGTCATGTTAACTTCACATTCAAAAGATAATACACAAATAAAAGGATAATAGGTATATATTTGTAATATCGAAGTTAATTCAACAAATTAATTCTTGCGTGTATTCTTTTTTAGCACTACAAAATAACTTCCTGAAGCTTAAAACTAAATTGTTGCATATCATTTAGTATTTCGTTCCATTGTAATATAGAAGGAATTCAATTTTATAAAAATCATATAGGGTAATGTAATAATGTTTTTACATTCATGAAATTTACGTTACCATATAGTGTATGTAAGTGCATTTTCACTTAAAACTTCTGTATTTTGAGTGTATATAAGACAAAATAAGTTCACAAAAATTAACACTTTTTAATATATGTTTTTATTCATAATATACTTTAAACATTGTTTTATCATATACCATACTAATGTTCGTTACTAATAACCCCATTTATGTTTATGTAATCTATATAAGTCCTTTCTTGTCACTGTTCCAATAATTAGTTGATACTTTCAGTTTTCGAAACTGTTAAAAAGATATAACACAATGATATCAAAGCACTTTTTTCACCGAAAATTTAATTTGGTACAAAATTTTCACGTACGTACAGTTTCTGTAATCTGGATCATACTATAATACATTATATTCAGATCTCAGTATAAAGTGATTATAAAACTGCATATATTTGTTTGCTCTCAGAACTGTTGTCAATCCATCTAGATTTGTTTTGTCAATTGAACCTATAGGGTTTTTTTTTGTTTTTTTTATATTTCTAACACTAATATCTGAACGAAATACACTTGATTCTCCAAACAAACTTTATAATTAATTACGATACAATAGGGTATAATAACTTGCATTAAATCAATCTATATTATCTTGAATATAAGAGTTTGACTTTCAATATCTAATGTCCCCGAATCAGTGCATTGTGGATCCTAGAGTCCATGGTTTGCATTCCGTTTCCGGTAAAGAAATAGCACTCTGCATGTTGGGACCGTGCGTTATAAGAAGTAACAGTCAAATCCCACTATTCGAATAGAGCAGCCAATCAGTTAATTGGTGGTTAGTGCTGTTGACTAGCTGCCTTTTTTATAACCTATTAATTTAAAACTAGGAAGGGTTAGTTCAGGTAGTCCTCGTGTAACTTTGCTCAACTATCTGAAACAAAACAAACCAAATTAATAATATAGTATCATTTGTTGTATTTTTATCTTATTTTGACTCCATTTAAATTTATAAATAATCTTATTAATTCAATTAGATCTTCAAAGACAATTTATACTGATGTTAGTATATTACGTTTTTATATACTAGGTGTTACGTAAAATCCTTCTAATATAACAATAAATCATCCGTATGTAATATTATTTGACTTTCTTCTTTATTCACATTAGTTCTTTTAAAATCTTTGTAGTCTCGAATAGAAAGGTGATAAACAGCCACATTTTGTATTCCACGTTTAAGGTAAACTAAATGGGTGTGATAACTCTTTAGATAAAACAAATGGGTGTGATAACACTTTAGATAAAATAAATGAGTGTGATAACCCTTTAGATAAAAGAATGTGTGTGATAACCCTTTAGATAAAATAAATGTGTGTGATAACCCCTTAGATAAAATAAATGGGTGTG